TATGTATGGATATAAGTTACACTGTGGTTGAGTAAGTTTTACAACTGTCAAGACATTTGTTTATTGATAAAGAATTATCTATGTAGATCTGTACATATAATTATAAGGACAAGTACAGTAGAAAGTTACCAATTATGAACATGATGATGCATGATATACTAACATTTATTTTTATTTATAGATTTATATAAAATCTTAAGAAAATAATTCATGTTTATCATTCAAGAATGAAATTATTAATTCTTTATATAAAGATAATTATAATATAAATGAAAACTTTATTACAAAACATATTCATAATAATTATAACAAGGATATTATGGTTATCAAAGAAGATATTAAAAATTTAATATTTTGTAAATTTCAAAATAAGAGAAATATTGGGTTTAATAATGTTAAAAGAACTGCAATTACTTCTTATTATTATGATGTTCAGGATATTGTTGTAACAAATTTAAATTTTTCTAAAAAAGCAAGAAAATATGCTTCTGATTATAGTATTATTTTGTGTGATAAATCAAATCTTAATTATAAGTTAAATTTCTATATTGAAAAAGAATTAGATAAGAGGGAACTTGATTTATTATATAATATCTTGAATAATAAAGATTATTAAATTTTATATATATTTTTTGTAAAGATAAAGATGTTGATAATTTATTCTAAATTTATATTAAAAAATAAAGTATGATACAATGATCTTTTTTTTTTGTATCATCTGTGTACCAAAATAAGAAATCCAAATATTATAAAATGAATGAGATGTAAATGCATGATTTGCACTTTTCTTTGTCAAATTTAAAATGAACCAAAGCAAAAACAAAGAACCCAAAACAATAAAACAAAGAATGATGAAACTTTAAATCATATTAGAAAGAATAAATTAAACAATCAAGTTATAGTTTTGGATAACAAAGATGTGTCTAATAAATTGAATAATTAGCTTGGTAAAATGAAGAAAAGTATATAAAAGAGATCTGATATTGATTTTGATAGAAATGTTTGAAATCTATCCAAATTAAATACTTGTGAAAAGAATATTCTGTTTATGATGTATGAATTCTTCTCGACAATTAATAGTGTTGTCATAGATTCATTAAATAATTCACTTATTAAAGATCTTAAATTATTAGCAAGTTCAACTAAATAGATAAAAACCCTACTCAAATTCTATAAAGAACAAAATTATCAAGAAGGTATACATGATGAATTCTATAAAGACATAGTCAAAGCATTCTTTTTGACAAGTATTATTTTCTTCAAAGATGTTATAAAGATTTTGGTAAATTCAAGAAAGTCTTTGATAATTGTAGAAAATTCTAAAATCATAATGTTCCTTTTGGTAAAAGACTTCTTACTTATGCATTCATTGAGTATATTGTATTTTTTCTATTCTTTGCTTGGATAATCAAATATTGATTTAGCAGAAACATCTCAGGAACAGTATTTGCCAATTACTGAGTCTGCATCAAAGAAGGCATGTTTGTTCATAGCTATTCATATATCTACAAACTTTTTGGTAATATTACTGAACCTCAAGCAAGAAAAATTTGTAATAAACTGGTCTTTCTTATAAAGGATATATGGACCTTACAAATCTTAAAATATGGAGAAAATAATGTTAATGGGTTTACCTTAGAAATGGTTTGTGAATATGTAGACTATTTTGAAGAGATAATGTTGAATTTTACAAGCTTTAATGATGAAAAGACCAAGAAGAACCTATTCAGATACATGAACTATATCTTAACATACACAAGAGCAAACTTCTTTGAATAAAGAGTTATCAAATATAGTAGCTTTCATAAGTTCAAATACTAAAAAGAGATTTTTAATAATTGCAATGAATTAAAATTGCATAATTCTAAACTTGTATTTTGATTTGCTATTTTACTAATGAATATATTATTAATAAAAAATTTATATAGTTTTGTAAAATGTATTACTTTAAAAACTATTTAAATGACTATAATTACGGATTATTTTAATCTAAATTCAACAATGATATTTCTAAATAAAATAATAGAAATGATTATTAATAATATTGAATTCAATAATTTCTATGATATTCTATATATTAATAAGTTTATTTTTTATCTGGTTATCCAAAAAATATGAACAGATTTTTTTGTAAAATTTTATTTAGTATTAGAAATAAATGAAAAAGAAAAGGCTAAACAGATTTTGGAAGAAGTTGCACATATTATCTTTGGATCTTTAAGTATCAAAAATAAAAGAATTTATTTTAAGTAATCTAAAAATTGAAAAATGATAAGCTTATAAAAATGGCAGTATTTGACTATCTAAAATTTATAAAATATGTAGATTATTTATTTATTTTTAAAATGTGTAATTTATTTATTAAAACTAATGATGTGTATACTGTTTTTATAAGCTTTCAGTAAAGTTGTCTCAAAATCAACAATCTTGGAACAACTTACTATTATCTTTTCTGGATTAGATATTCAAATATATAAATCATTATTACTGATTCTTAATCAAAAAAAGTTAAAAGTTCTTTATATCACTTTCATAATTGACTATACATTTTATAATATAGTTTTTAAGTCTATTAATAATCTGGTTAATAAGATGATTTCAAAATTCAAAATTGATATGCTTTGGATTAAGGATTATTTTATTATTAAAATCAATAACACTATTACTAAACTGAAAGTAAAAGATTAATGTAAGAATCTTATTTAGTATTTTTCATCTTTTGAGATGCTTATTCTTAATAAAGTTAAATATAAAGAAAGATTTTTGTTAGAACTAAAAGTTCTAAGTCTTACTGTTTACACAAAAATGGAATTGGTTATATTCTATTCTACTATAAAGGAAAATAAGAATATTAAATCCTTTAAGATAGAATGAGTATATAATTATTATGTTATACAAAGTTTTTTATATTTTGAAACTAAGATAGAAATATTTAATAATTTTATTTCAAGATTCTCTAAATATATTTTACTTAATAAAAATGTTTATATTGGCATTACAGTAAAGATTATTCTTAGCAATTTTAGATCTTGTAAAAAAATATTAAATAATAAAAAAATCAAATACAGTTTTAAATAATATATTATTTTTATAAAAATATGTATTACATAAATAAATATATTATCAGATCTCCTTTCTTGAATTTTTGTACCAATTTTAGTTTTTATAAATAAACATCAACTTTCATCAGTTAAAGCAATAAAAAATGTCTTCTGTGAATATTGATCTTTATGAACTTTCAAGAAGCATATCATTAAAAGATGCAATTGATTTACTTTGAATAGTATATGAAGAAAAATATAAAGATATTCCAAGAAGAGAAAGTTTCTATTCAAGTGATTCTAGTTATCAAAAAACTCTACCAAGAAAGTTTACTCTAATAAGAAACTATTTTAAAAAAAATAATATTATCAAACTCAGATATTTTTACCAAAGATGCAATAATCAGTACTTTAACCAAGAATATACCAAATTCGATCAGTATTATGGAATATGCTCACAATGTTTACAAGTTGGTCTACATACATGTTGTGTATCTTGCAAATCATCTATAAACTTTTGCAGATATATATTCCAATGTGCATTAGCATATCTAACAAGATTTAAAGATAATAATGAAGTTAAAAACTGGGCCAAGAGTTCATTCTTTTGTAATAAGTATATTGAAGATGCATTTTAAGCATACTTAAATATGTCAATAAGTAATTAGCAATGATCTTAAAATTGTATTTCTCAAAGTAAAACCACATCTTGTCAAGTTGAATATAATAATAACTACAATCTTGAAAAGGAACTATGTGAAAAATGTGATAAGATTCATAATAATGCAAAACCATGTATTTCAAAAAAGACAAAATACTGCTACAACTGTAAGAAGTCTGAACATATCAAATAAAACTGTCCAGATGTATAATGTTGGAAATATAAAGAATTTGGTCATCTTAAGACAAATTGTAGTTATCAATAGTTAAAATTGTAGATTAACACTCATATATTGCCAGATCAGAGTAGTTAGATCAGTTGATGATTAACTTTGATATTGGAACTAATGTTAATGTATTATTAATATTAAGTCAAATATCAAAGTTAACTATTGAATAGTCTTATTAACTATATTTGGTTTGCAGTATATAGGTGTTAATCATTTCTTTTTTTATTTAATTGTATCTTTAATAAATTTATACATAATAAAATAATTATAAATAATCAAATAAAAGTATATTAAAAAATTGATTATAACAATGTCCAAATTACAGAAACATCCAGTTGTATTATATTTTAATAAAAAAGCTTGCACAATATGTATTTTAAGATCAAACACAGTAGTAGTATTGCTTCTATGAAGAGACATTATATCAACAAGCATAATAATAAATGGCTTAGTATTCGTAAACATGAATTTATTAAAGGCAAAACTCCAAATAAGAAAAACCAGTAGAAAAATATTTTTGTAAAAAGAAATGTATTGTATGCAATTATGAATTTTGAGTTAATTCAAAACTTTCAACTATAAAAAAACACTTTGTAGATATTCATAAAACAGATTGGAATATATTTGTTAAGATCAAAAAGTTTATAATTAAGTTAATACAAAAAAGAACACAAACTCAAGTTGTTAAAAAACCAACTATGAAACCTACTGTTCAAATTAAAGAAACAAAAGAATTAAAACCTAAACCTAAGAATATTATTTTAAAAAGAAACCCAAAGTAGTTAAAAAGATTTTCAAAAAACCTACTATTGTTAAAGAACAAAGATTACCCTTATTTGGTTATAACACCAAAATTGTAAATCATTATTTTTTTTAACTAATATAATATGCTAAATATTTATTAATGTAACACATGTCATAAAGTAGTTCAACTAGAATTAGTCTTTTTGCATGTAAGACTCAGATGTAAGAAAAGATTTTTAGATAATTCTGATAAATTTGAAAATAATATGTAACTCTATGAAATATATAAATAAAACAATTCTAAACATAAGTTTACTTATAAAAAATGTTTGAAGCAACTTTTGCTAAAGCATTATTGTTTAAACATGTCATTGAAGCAACAAGAGAGCTTGTTGCTGATATTAACATTAAGTTTACAAGATCTGACATTAACTTTACAAGCATGGATTCATTACACATCACACTCATCTCTGTTTATCTTAATAAAGAAAGGTTCAAAAGACATGTTATGACAAAGATGAAATTATTAGTATAAATTTTAATTACCTAAATAAAATACTTAGTTGTGTGAAAAATAATGATATTCTTATACTTAGACTAGTAAATCCAGATTTTTTAAGCATTTTATATAAGGGTTCTGATGATGCTAATGAAACTGAATATGAAATTTGATTATTAAATATTGAACAGAAAAGGATTAGTATTCCACCTACTAACTACAGTGTGATCATTGATATGCCTTTTGCAGAATTAAAAAAGATATTCTTAGACTAAATGATTGTAAATGAAACAGTAAAAATAATTGTAAAACAGAATATTGAAACAGTTAAATTTATTTTAACAGGTGACTTTAATAATAAATGTATCAGTATTTTGAATAAAAGTACAGATAGATTTAATAACAAAATTAATATTAAAGCAGAAAATAATATAAATGATTTATTTTCACTTAAATTTTTATTAATGTTCATGAAAGCATCTTCTTTATTAACTCATGTACAAATTTGTTTAGAAAATAACTTTCCAATTATTGTCAAATATGAAGATGAACAAAACTATATTTACTACTACCTAGCATTAAAAATAGTTGAAGAATAAACATATATTTTATTTATATTTCTAGCTAAATAAAACCTAAACTATAAACTAAAAGTTATGTATTTCAGGGGTTCAAGTACTCTATATTATATTCTTTATATTTCTTGATTGCATCTTTATTACCTTTTTGTGCAGCTATGATTAAATATCTTCTACCTTTTTCTTCATCTTTAAAATCTTGATTATCTGTATAATAAATTGAACTTAATATATAAAATGCAGTCATATTTTCATTTTTTTCAATAACTGACTCCAAGTAATCAATAAATTTCTTGAACATATTTTTACTATGATCTTTAGAAAGTATCATATATCGAAACTATACTTCAAATCTGTAATAGTTATTTTTATTCTCATTCTCAGCAACTTCTTTGAATATGATTCTTGCTTTAGACTTATTTATAGGTGTACTAAATCCTTCATAAATATAAAACCTTTTCAGTATTTTTTATTGAGAGAGATTTTCAAATTATTGTGATTTGCAGAATAGTTAAAGTATTTAAAATACTTAGATACCATGCCAAGTTAGTAATTGATCCTCAAAGATTTTTATGTTTTTCTATAAGATTGTATGAAACATTTTTAATAGTATTAGTATTGCATTTTCTAAACACAATTTTAAATTTCTCTTTACTTTTATGTATCAAGTTTAACAACTCAATTTCTTTAGTAGTGATCAATTCTGATAACTCAGTCATTTTAGATGTTTGTATTGTATGTTCAATGATAAAAAGATATTACTTTTTTAGAATTTGAATGACAAAAAAATATAATCATTTATCTAAATAAAAAAAATAATAATATAAAAATAAAAAAGTAAATAAACTATATTTTAAATAAAGCTAATTTTTATAAGATAGCTCTAAATCATGTTTGTGCTTTATTTTTCAAATGATTATCTTTAGAATCATTTTTAGCAACTTCTTTAATTAAGGCTTTTGCTTCAAGTTTATTAATAAAAGTTCCAATCCTTCACTTAAACAGATCTCTTTCCAATATTTTGCAATATGAGTAATTGTTGAATCATTATATTTTGCACAATAGGTAAAACCTTTGAAGATATCATTTTTATTATTAAATGCATCATCAGAGTTGCCTTTAGTGTAAAGATTATACTCATCAATGCAACTATTTAGATAGCTCAATATTGTCTTATTACTAGAATTATCAAATACTCTTTTAAATTCTTCTTTACTTTTATTTATAACTATATCCAATTTAACAAACCTGAGACTCATTTTAAGAATTAAAGTTTATATTTATTCATATTTGGAAAATATATAATCTTTTATTAAAACAGGAACAATAATATAAAAACAAAGAAAGTTAATCAATATGTTGAGCTTTTACATTGTTTATTATTTAATTCTATTTAGCACTACATTTTATACAAATTATTTTTCTATTTAAACTATCAAGAAGCTTTTTTTTCTTAAACTCATAACACAGATTACAAATATCATAATACTCCTTTTTCTTATTATTTCAACCTGACTTATTTGTCATATACAATTTACAAATTTTCTGCTTCTTACAATTGATGCAGAATCTAAAATAACATTTTTGAGCCCTATTCCAACCAACCTTATTTACTTTATATTTATTATATAATAATGCATTTTAAATTAAAATTTTTTTATAGATTCTCTGCATTAACTATTCTTTTTAAATTTTTTATTTCCACAAAGACAGACATCTTCTAAATTAAATAAAAGTTCAACATTTCTTTTATTAGTAAAAAACTCCAACTCTTTTTCAAGAATTTTATTAATATTCTCTAATATAACTTTATAACCTTGAAGAGCTTGTTCAATTTCTTTTGGAAATCTTAGATCAAGAGGAACCTCAAAGACTTGTTTATCATCATATTTTATATTATTATCTTCAAACATAAGTTTAAAAATCAAATTTGGATATTTGTAAATATTTTCTATTGTTGTTGTTATCTTTGTTTGTTTAGTACCAAGAATGAAAACTATGTGTTTTCATCAGAAGGAACACAGTTATAACAATATTTTTTATATTTTGAAAAAGATTTTATTTCACAATAATTTTGAAAACAGCATTAACATAGAGATGCATTTCATATAATATTAAAGTATTGTATTCTATTATTTAGATTTAAAAATCTTAAATATTTTTTTTGTTTTACCATCATTCATTTTTATAATTAAAAAATATGTATACAGATGTATTACAGATAATCCTGACTTTTATAGTTTATCAAGAATTAAGTTTAATAGAATAAAATATGTTTTACAAAATATAAAAAAAACAAATTACAAATATATAATGATCAAAATATTAAATATGATTTTATATGAAACTTATTAATATCTTTTATAGTCATATTAAGACATTGTTATAAGAATCAGTTAAACTGTTATTTAGTTTAGCAAGTTCTTTGTTATGCTCTTGTTTCAAGTACAAGAAGAAGAATATAAAACTTAATATAGAGATATAAGATAGATGTTAAATATTCTCTTGTAAAAATAATATTCTTTCTTAAAATTCTTTAAGTAAAAAGACTAATTCATCTTTACAGATATCCTAGAAAGATTATTAATCCTGTTATCTAGCAATTGATTTAGTGTGAATTGAAATTTTTTAATTTGTAATAAAATAGTAACTAGATTATTATTAAGCTTTATAATCAATAAATTGAAAATTTAAATACTTTTGATAAGAAAGATCATATCAGAGTATAAATCTTATTGAATATTAGTTAACAAATTATTTTATAATAATCAAAAAATGAACTGTATTGTCTTGTATAGACTAAAATAGATAGTTTATTAAATAGAGACAATTTAATCAATATTAGTTTAAAATAAAAGATAACATTATTAAGAAGATAAAAATATAAATTTAAATTAAGTATAATAAAATAATTTATTAATAAATATATACATATATTTTGCTATAAACTATACAATACTCTTTTTGTACAACCTTGCAATTTCTAAAACTATACTAAAAAAAATCTTAGTCGAATCAAGTTTTTTTGTTACTAAATACCCAGACTTTCATACTACCTGTTTGTGTAGGTTATTTTAGTAGACAAAAATTAATACTAGGTCCTGAACCTTATCTACATCTTCTGGTGTAATATCAAACTCATGTTCTACCAAAATACAAGTTTTTCAAATTTGGTAAAAAAGATATAAATAGGTTTTATTTTCAAAAATTCTTTGTCTAATTTGTTAGAATTATTCAAGTATTCTTGTACCCAATTTCAAATCTCACTTTTTTGTTTTCTAGAAAGAATATCTTTAATCATACTCTGGTATAATTCTATATGAAGCTGTTCTTTGTAAACATTTTATTATCATCTTGCAACATTTTCTCAAAGATTGAAACTTTAGTTTCTTTAGATTCTTTTTTTTGCAAATATTTAGTGTCTTTTTTGTTTTGGATAACTTTGATATTTAGTATAGTAGATTTTCTAAAACAAGAATAACAGATACAGTTTTCATCATCATCATAAATATTATAACATAAATTATCTATTTCATATTTCTTATTTTTTACAAAAAGTTCTTTAGATAATAGTGCTTTTTTCAATTTCGGTTTGTTATTAGTTTTCACTGTTCTTTTTTGTTTTTTATTCTTATTATCAGAATATTTTTGTTTACTTTTCTGAGAAGATCTTCTTAATGAATAAGAATCTAGTATAAACTTAAATTGTTCATTAATATTGTAATTAGAAGGATTAGTTTTTTGACACTTATACATATTTGTTTGTAAAAAAATACTTTTAATATATCAGATGACTATTGAATGAATGAAGCTTATTCTTACTAAAAAAACTAATAAAAATAAAACAGAAATATCAGATAACTGTTAAGTGAACAAAGCTTACTCTTAGTAAAGAAACCAATAAAAATAAAACAGAAATATTAGATGACTATTAAGTAAGTAAAGTTCACTCTTTAACTTTAGCCCTTGTGCTAGTAGTCTATGTATGGTGTAGTAAAACTCTATGCCAAATATAGTATTATATATAAATAATATATATCTATAAAACAAATATATAGTGATAAGTAATAGATCATATATGTAAAATTACTATATCTTATTATACTTTTAATAATCATCAGACTGGGAAATAGGCAACCAAGATTAGCACAAATATGTTCTGCAAATGAACCTGATCATATATTATCTAAAAATTATATAACTTAGACAGAAAAGAATAATAATTATGTCTATCAAGTATATAAAATTTCAGGAAAATATATATTGCTAAATTGTAAAGTATATAAAAATTTATGACTAATTGAGTGAAAAAAATCAAAGACAAAAATTTTTGATAATTGCATAAAACAGCAGATTAGGTGATTTACTATGCATTTTCAATTTCAGTAAGTATATAAAACTACAATTATGTAATTTAATAGGTATTTCAGATTTAAACTGCCTATTATCCAATAGTCTTTTGCAAAAATTCTATAAAAGAAAATTTTTTTCAGATGCAGCAAGCATATGAAATTTTATATTGTTACACTGTACAACTTTGCAGATGTGAAATCTGCAAATTTTGTATTATTTTCACCCTCTTTATTCATCATTTGCCAATATTTTGATCAGAAATTTTTTTATTACAAATTTTCCTATTTGAATGCTAATCAGTTCATGCAAACATATAATTCAAATTTTTTATTACTAACTAAATTTTGATTTTGATCACATTGGAATACAAAAAAAAATCTGAAACTCATCTCAAAATAGAAAAACATTTTTTAAAAAGAAAATATTTTTTCAATTATGTGCCAAGACCCAAACCGAACTAAAAGTGAAGAGTTCAAATCTTTAATATAATTAACATAAAATTTAGATAATTATACTTTATTGATTAAACCAAAAATATACTTATAAGATGTGGTGACCTAGTGAAGTAGTCAAGTTGTCAATCTTCCAAGTGGTAGATTGGGTGTTCAAATCCTATCAATAGTAAAAATTTGGATAATTACCTATGTAATATTTATATTATAGCAACTGTTACTAATGATTAAGTTAGGATACCTTTAATGACAGTTACATCAGTATACTGGCAGGTTATGGGGCATCTGTGCAATGTTGAAATTATATAGAAAAATGCAAACTGACAAATCAGATAGTGTAAACACTAGATAAGTCCTTGTGGCTCTGTAAATCTGTTAAAATTAAATAACAAAAAGTCCATTTGGGAAGACCTAGGTAGAAAGGTAGCTAAATCTTCAATGATCCTACTGTAAAGGCTAGTCTAAGAAAATGAATACTAAGATCTAGTATTTGGTTATAGTAGCCGAATAGGCAAAACTCTTCAGATTCAGAGTCTTGGAAGTACCACCAATTAGACTGCTAAAATGAACTGAAGGAAAGGATATCAGGCTGATCCAATATACCAATAGACTGGTTATAGTTCTACATAAGCTATCTGGATTGGAAGTTTGGTAAAAAGGCAGAAGAAAAGGTAAAGGTATACTAAAGTACTGGAGTTATGCTGTAAAGTAAATGCTAAAGTCTAAGTAAACTCTATAAAGGCATAGTGGTTTAATAGTTAGTCATAACTACAAGTGTTGGTTCTGCTATAGTGATATCTAGGTTAGCTATAAAAATAGGTACATAAAGCTCTGAGAGGTTTACTTCAAGGATAAATTAGTTCTAAGATTAAGACAATGATCTAGGCATTTTGGTATGCCTCAGTGAATTAACACAGAGTACATGTTCAGAGGGTTTAAAGTGAAACATCCAAGCAGGGATGTTAGATATAGCAATTGGTAGAGAACTTTAGAGCAGACTTCTTAAATAGGTAATATAGAAAAGTTATATGTATAGCCAATTATACACTCTTCTGTAGTAGTTCATTGAGCCACAATACTGA